GGGGGGGGGGCTGGGGAATTCTGGGAGTTGAAATCCACACATCTTAAAGTTGCCAAGTTTGAAAAACACTGTTTTAGACTATCACCTTTTATCTGGAGAGAAGACAGCTAACTGGCAGTGGCTAGGAATAGAGGTAACAGGGGTAGGATAGATACAGGTAGTCCTCACTTAATGGCCATTCATTTAGTGACCATTTGAAGTTACAACAGTGCTGAACAAAGGGACTTACAACAGTCCTCACACTTACAACCTTTGCAGCATCCCCATGGTCATGTGATTGTGATCCAGGCGCTTGGCAACCAGCTCACATGATGGTTGCAGAGTCCCAGGGTCACGTGATCACCATTTGCAAGCAAAATAAATGGGGAACCACTTGATTCATGTAACGACTGTATAAATAGTCACTTTAGCAATGAACTTTCCAGTCCCTATTGTGGTAGTTAAGCAAGGACTACCTGTATTGGCAATGGGGGCAACTACATCAGTATAGTTTGCTGCCAGCTCAAGAATGGATGGAGAGCACTTGAACTCAGAAGTGGGGAAAGAGTCAAAGAGACTGAGAAGGTATTGAATCTGCAAGGATGCTGATTATATCTATGGAAAGACATTTACAGAGAAGGCAGTCTTTAAATTACGCTTATCAACCCAACTCCTTGCTTTTAAGAGCTCTGTAAAAGGAGAAAAATCTATTGATGTTTACATGTTATAATAATGGGACAGAACTGTGGTCCTTACATTTGGCAGCTGGGTGCTTTACATCTCTAGCAGAGAGAAAAGAGGCGATTAAAGGTGCAAAACCTTGCCCATTTAAAAAAAAAAAGTTGCAGCAGCATTATGAAGGTGGGAAAACTAGGTTCTAAACCTCATTCAGCTATGTCTCTTTCAACATTAGCCTAATTCAGTTCCTATGGTTGAAATTTAGTATGTGAATTTCACAGTATGAAGCAGAATAAGGCAGGTTTTCCTTTATGTGTGGATTTCAGCTCCCAGAATGTTTAGTTCTAGCCAACCTCTTAGAGTTGGAGTCTGTACATCTGAAGAGCCAGTAGAATAAGGAAGGCTGGTGAAGAATAAGCACAAGAAACAAGCATGCTCTGCACAGAAATGGAAGGATTTACAAATACCTACAGCTGAAGAATGGATAATGAAATTAACGGAATTGGCGGAGATGGCGAAACTGACTACTTTGATTAAAGAAAAAACTTTGGCTTTGTTTCTACTTGGAAACCACGTTTGGACTTTTTGCTTGAAACTGAAGGACATGAAACTTTAATTTTGGGCTTTGATGACTGATATTTTTTATATTTACAGAAATACTTTGTACTAGTTTTTCTTATATTTTCTATCGTTACTCTAATGTTTAAAATAATACAAAATATGTCTGTAAGAGGTGAACGCATTATATATTTGTGCCTGTACCAAAAAAAGTCAGAAGTTATCCTGTTTCTTCTTTCTCACTTCTTCCTTTTCATATTTTAAATTTCACTCCCTTTCTGATCTCTTCCTTTTTTCCACCCTTTTTTCCCTCTATTTTCCTCTATTTTACTTGTTGTTGAAATTTAATAAAGTTCTTTTTTTAAAAAAGAAACAAACATACTAAACATTTTAACTAATTTCCACAACCACCCTTGTGACAATAACAAAAATAATTACAAAGACTACCAAACATATGATGACACAAGCTTTAGTTTAATCAACCACATGAGGTACTGATAAGCCATTATTACTCCCTTACTATAAAGGAAGTTGTGAAGTAGAAACTTGAGAAAAACTTTCCCGGTCCCCTATTTTATGCATGTACTTCTCTGCCCTTGACAGGAGTCTTCAATATGGATAATGATGACCTGACATGGACAGAGAAATTTCTATCTATAGCATGATAGTAGCAATAGATCCTTCAGGCACATCAGCCATCAAACAACGTTGCAGGCACAGAGTAGCAAACACAAATGTGTGGACCAATATCATGACCACATTGACTAAGAGGAGATTTAAAATCCAAGTTCTACTCAAAAGCACAATCTCTGAGTCTGGACTGTGCTGCAAAAAACTTCTTTTAATGAGTAGGAGGATTTCTATCATTCTTACTTTAATTTAAAGCTGGCCATAGTACGATGGCAGCTAGAGATAAGTACCTTAACATTCACAAAAGAGAGATGAAATGCTGTCACATTTCTTACGTTCTCAAAAGTTATGAATGGATCTTCAATCGATTTAAATTTCCTGCCTCTTACTTCTCTTTTCAAGAAATGCAATTCTGTAAACACTTAAAGACTGAAGACATCAAGCGGATTCTATGAATTAAAGGCAGTTGTTTCCCTGAAATTACCATAAATCAGACCAAATCCTGCAGCTTTAAGATACAATTTAGCACAAAATTGGCTCCAGATATAATATCAAAATCATATTGTAAAATTGGATTGGATCCAATCCACAGGCCTTCAACCATCTCTAAACCAGTCTGCTCTTCAGCTTTAACATTTAGGTACCAACTCCACAAATAAACCCACCAGCTATTAGCCCACAATATTTTGAGCTAATCCATAAAATTAGTAGTTCTTTCTCTTTTTTATAAGTGAGATGAATACCCCACCCTTTCTCTAAGGAAGTCAAGGTGGTATATGTGATTCTATTCTCCTCTTCCCATCATTTATCCTCACAACAATCCTGTGAGGTAAATTCAGCTGAGAGAGATCATGACTCCCAGAAAAACATCCAGTGGGCTTCAAGACTGAGTGTAGATTTTAAAGCCACAATCTCTCCTAGGGTCTTTTTTTACTAAATGGATGACAAATGAGTTTTATAGAGCCTTCCAGTTAAAATATTTGGCTTGTATACCCCAAGATTTAAACTAATAAAGAAGGGGAGGACTACTGTATCTAACCAAAGATAATGCTGTCATCATGGGCTTCTTCTTGGACATATTCTCTTCTCCTATAGGAGGAAAACATGACATTTGAGGACTAGGAGGGATAATCCATATCTTTGGTCTATGACATAATCTAACACTGGCTACATCTTTAGTCAGTACTCTAAGGGAGATAGGAATCAACAATTTGTATAGGCTGTGTTCACGGTCACACAACATGAACACAGCTCCAAAAAAAGCAAATGCAATTCTAGGTTTTAAAATTGCATTTTTTTGTTCCTTTTTATTTTGTGGTTAAACCACACCTAGAACATTGTGGTCAGTTCTGGGCACCACATTTTAGGAAGGACAGTGACAAACTGGAAGGAAAACAACTTATAAGGAATAGTTGGAGACGCTGGGGATGTTTCACCTGGATAAAACTGTGGGAAGACATGACAGCTGCCTTCAAGTACCTGAAGGACTGTTGTGTAGAAGACAGGGCAGTATTCTTCCGAGTTTTTCCATAAGACAGGACAAGAAACAGTGAGTCTAAGCCACTGTTT